AAGAAATAATTAAAAAAAAAAAAATCACATACCTCCAGAAGGTGTCTGATTGGTGATAATCACATCCGGTCTTGCGTTCGTTGCCATTGCCGACCCTCTCCTTGCAGAAACCACCACTTGGCGGCAAAAGCGTCCAGATTCAGACGGTAGTGGACCGCCTCTATCAGTCTGCACACCTCCAGATGACAGACACGTGGTAGTGGGACGCTTGCCGATATGAAGCGTTGACGCACCTAGTCGCGTTTGAGGTCCACATGCATTCCCGCAGTGCACCGGCGGAGGATCGACAGGCGGCAGATCAACACATAACCATCCTCTCTGGCAGACCGCAGAGACTCTGGTCCGCAATGCACCTGGTCGTATCTGAGGTCCACATGCATTCCCTCCAGTGATACCATCACCGGCGCGTGTCGTTTTATTAGAAGCCCAATCTCCTCTCAGCTGCTCAAGGGGCAAGCAGTGCTGGCTATGGAGGCACGGAGATGAGGCCGCCGCCATGGACAACACAGCGTTCGCAGAGAAGGCAGAGGGGATAGCTGCACTCAAGGATTTTTTATTTTTTATTTTTATTTTCTATTTTTAAAAAAAAATTTGGACTCAAAAATTAGGACGGGAGAGGAAAAAAAAAAAAAAAAAAAAAAAAAAGGAAGGAGGGTGGAGAGGTGGGAAAGAGGGGAGGGAGGGAGGGAGGGAGGGAGGGAGGGTGAGGAGAGAGAGATTCAGCAAGTCAAGAAGGAAGAGAGAGAGGGCGGTAGGGGAGGGTGTAGGGAAGGTGGAAGGCAAGGGGGCAAGGCAGGGGGAAGAGGAAGACAGGAGGCAGGACCAGGTACAGAAACAAAATAATAATGTCAATTGAAGGGCACTTGCGCTCAATAATACAACCCGCGCTTTTTTTTTGTTTTTTCTTCCGGTTTTTTCCCGCCCTTTTTTGTAATGACTTTTTGAAGGGCACTTGCGCTCAATAATACAACCCGCGCTTTTTTTTGTTTTTTTTTCCGGTTTTTTCTTGGAAGCATGCGTCCAACTGGTTCTACTATGGGCCTCGACACACCACTCCCGGGATTTGCAAAATAGAGCATGTATCTTCCGCAAAAACAAAGAAAGATACACCCCGGGATTTGTAAAATAGAGCATGTATCTTCCGCAAAAACACAGAAAGATACACCCGCCATAGGTTTTGCCTTTTTCACATTCCGTGAGTGGTGTGGCGATGCCCTATATAAACCAAGGGTCGGAAAAGGGTCCGGCTAAATTTAAAAAAAAAAAAAAAAAAAAGAAAGAAAAGGGTCCGGCAACAGGACCAGGTGTGGAAACAGGACCAGATCTGAAAACAGGACGAGATGTAGAAACAGGACCAGGAAAGGAACAGGAACGGATACAGCTACAGGACCAGGTGTGGAGAAAGGACCAGGTAAAGAAACAGGAACGGACACAGCAATGGGACCAAGTGTGAAAACAGGACCAGGTGTGTAAACAGGACCAGGTACAGGAACAGGAACGGATACAGCAACAGGACCAGGTACAGAAACAGGACGAGGTAAAGAAACAGGAACGGACACAGCACCAGGACCA